ATTCTGATTTTAAAATTCTGGTTTACAAATTCTGACATAAGAATTTTGATTTACTAATTCTGACTTAAAGATATTCTGATTTGAAAATTCTGAAGATTATAAGTTTCCGGAACAAATTAATAAACTTTCCGGAAAAAGTTTATTAATTTAAAAATTCTGATTTAAAATAAAAATATAATAAACTTGAATTTCCAAAATAAAAATCAGAAGCAAGTTTTATTGGAGACGCTGAAACAAATGAAACAACAAAACAAAGCTAAAATATTCCTATAAAATACACATTTAAATTTACATAAAAAGTTAAAGACAGCTAAAAACAACGGAAAAATAAATATATTTATTTTGTATATAGAAGCAAGCTTTAACAAATAAGGAAAGAAAAAACGAAAAAATGGGCAAAAATAAGGACACACTATTGCCAGCTGCCGTTTCTCCCTTATCCAAAATTATCGACTTGTATATTTCAAGTCTTTGTTATTACATAAAAAATATTTTTTTCGGAGGAATAAAATTGAAATAAAAAAAATATTTTTAACGAGACAATTTTTATAAAGTGTTGCCAAGTTTGAAAAATCTTTAGAAAAATTTAAGACAAAGCAAAAATAAATTTTATAAAATAAAAATATCCTTTTTTTAAATTAAAGAAGCGGTAAGTTTATATTAGCCACCGGCTGTCATGTTTATATTTTTTACTTATTTTTTGCTTCCCAAACATCTTGCAGGAAAGAAAGTGAGCTAAATATTTCTCGTATTTCTTTTTTTGTGTGTTTTTAAAATTGATTTAAAAACTTTGTATTTTTAGGAAAATTTTAGTAAATAATCCGGTCAGATATATTGTTTCCGGAAATAAAAATCAGAATTTACAGTTCTCTATTAAATTAAGAAGAAGACAAACTTTCCGGAAACAAAATAATATATACTTAGAAATTAAGATTTTCCGGAAACTAATAAACTTGAGAATACAGCCTTTCCGGAAGAAAATATTATAATAAATTTTCCGGAAGTATTAGTAAACTTTCCGGAAATATTAATAGACCTTCAGGAAATATTAATAGACTTTCCGGAAAAATAATTATATTTTCCAGTAGTATTATATATAATAAATTTTCCGGAAATAAGACTTTCCGGAAATGTTATAAATTTTCCGGAAAAGTTTATTAATTAACTAATAAAATCAGAATTTATATTTAATCTTCTGTTATGGTCATAAATAGTTACTATTTATAACGTGTTTATATTAATAGCAATAAATTAATTAATTAAAATAGCAATGTATAATTTACGTCCCTCAAAAAGGGACATGTCAAGTAAATATAAAGTCCTTTTTTCATTCAAATAGTCATTTTTGTGGATGAATTATTTTCTTCTTCATTTATTTCTTTCTCAACTTCTTCCTCAACCGCTATCACAATAGACTCATTATTTGTACGTTTACGGCGTTTAATCCAATCAGCGAGCACTCTCTTAAGTACCAATGCCCAACCAGTTAAAGGTAATCTTTGTTCAGTTTGAGAGTTTCTTCCCATTACTCCATCAAAGCTTGCCGAACAAATCGCCGCACGATTTAACACATCTACAGAAAGACGACTACCACGACGCCAGGCGCGAAACTATAAATTAAAAAAACTTGAATAATAAAGCAAAATGAATGCTTACCTTCCGGAAAATATAATAAACTTTCCGGAAAAATTAATAGACTAAATATAAATCAGAATTTCCGGAAACAAATTAATAAGCTTAAAAATACAAGATTTTCCGTAAATTAATAAACTTAAGAATACAAACTTTCCGGAAGAAAATAATAAATTTTCCGGAAATACTAATAGACGTTCGGGAAATGTTAATAGACTTTCCGGAACTATTAATATACTTTCCGGAAATATTTAATTTATCTTCCGGAAAGCCTATTAATATTTCCGGAAAATTTATTAAAAAGTATATTTTCCGGAAAACTTTGTAATAGTTCCGGAAATATTAATAGCTTTTCCGGAAAATATTAATAAACTTTCCGGAATTATTATTTTAATTACCATAGCATAGTCCATTCTAATAACAGAATAATAATCATTTTCATCATCATGACATCCCCCAACACTTAAACTTGTTCCAACTCGATTTCGAAAAGAAGTACTAGCATTATTATTTCTATTTGATCTACAACTATTTCTACGTGTCAGAATTGGTTTTACTGATTTTTGTTTTTGTTCTTTTTTATTTAAATTCCAGTTTAATTCTTCTTTTTGATTTGAAGAAGAAGGAGAAGAAAATGAAACACGTTTATGATTATTAGTACGTCTGGAATTGAAAATACCATCACACTCAACATCTTTTAGATCCATAAATAAAATTTGGTGGTCAGAGAGGGCCCGGCGAATTCCAATTCTGAGACGGTCATCTAAAATTTTATTCGGAAAAAAATAAAAAATACTCTAAATTGTTACATTTTTCGATAACTTTAGCCCTACGAGGATTTGTCTCTCCAAAAGGAAAGTTTGCTCTAGTTAAACTTCGCCTTCTGCTGATACGCCTCTGAAGTTTGTAGTGTGCACGTTGAGTTAAATCATTAATCTGTTTTAAAAATAAATTTAATAAAACTTGTTTCAGAATTAAATAAAAATCAGAATTAATTAAAAATCAGAATTTTAGAACAACAAGACAAAAAACAGAATACAAAAATACAAACTTTCCGGAAATATTAATAGACTTCCGGAAAAGATAAAATTTTAATAAACTTTCCGGAATCAGAATTAATTAATCAGAATTATCTAAAAACTTTGTGTTTTGTTTAAAACTACCTCTGAATCCGATAGAAACCAACACGACGGTAATAGATCATCATCTCTCAATGAAAGATTTTTGCGGGATACAGAATGTTCAAAAGGTAGTGGGACAAAGGGGGAACGAACAAAATTTGTCTGTAAACTATTTTTTAAGAATATTTTAATTTTTTATATACCTGATGCCTTAAAGAAACTAGAGGTCCAACTAAACTATAACGTTGGGGTGTACTATTAGAATAAATATTTAAAGAATTTGTTGAAGCTTTTTGTTGGGAAAGCAAAGATGTTTTTGTTGGTTGTTGTTGTTTTCCCATTCTTTTCTGATTTTTAGTGTTTTGTTGTTGTTGTTTATCGCTGTTGGAACGGCAGAAAAACATTGATTTTACAAATTTGTTTGGACGCCAAACTTTAAAAGTGAATGAGAAAAATTTTGTTTTTAGTAAATTGTGGTGGAATGCAATAATGATTTATTATTTTTAATTTTTTATTTTAAAAATTTTTTAAATGGGCGTTTTATTTATTTTAAATTTATTAAAATTAAAAAAAGGAAGGGAAAAATAAAACATCGATCATTTAATGATCAATCCATTAGATAAGCGTACAAAAGGGAAGTTGGAATGTTTGGAATACAAATTAAACAAAATCAGAATTTATTAAAAACATAAAACAATATGTACAAAAAACATTAAAATAAACACATATTAATTAAAACAATATCAGAATTTCAAAACAACATGTTTAAACAAGCTAGAAACTTGTTTAAAACAAAATCAGAATTCATTAAAAACATAAGCTAAAAACATATTAAAACCAGAATTAATTTAAAACTTGTTAAAAACATATCAACAACTTGTTTAAAACAAACCAGAATTTATTAAAAACATAAAACACAATACAAAAACACAAGATATTAAAATCAGAATTTTAAAACAACATGTTGTTTAAAACAGAAAAAGTTTAAAACATCCAAAACATTCTATAAAACATTAAAATCAGAATTAATCTCAAACATCAACAAAACACAAAAACATTAAAAACATGAAAATATATTTGTTTCTTTTAAGTTTATTAAATTGTTTTGATGTTTTTCCTATTGTTTCTTTTAAAAACAACAATGTTTGGAAGATTTTAGGCTATTTAAACATAAAAACTTTAAATATAAACAAATTTAAATGACGAAAAAGACCAGAGAGTGTTGTGTGTGTGATCTGACGAATATTATTAGTGGCGCGTTTTTTCGTCTTTTAACGATAGAGACGGGGATTATTGGGAAGGATAAATGATTGATTATAGCGGAAAGAAGAGAAGACCCTTTCTTTCTTTGTATTCGCGCATTAAAAAAATATGAATGGAAGTACAACAAACAACCAAAAAAAACACTTAAAACCCCAAATATTTTTTTAAATAAATAAAAATAAATATTCTTCTCTCTTACCCTCTTTTTTGCTGTTTTCCGAGTTCCAAAAATGCATAAATTCGGCATAAGAGGTTCGCAAATCGGGGCTACTCGAACTGTTGTATTTTATATTTTTGCCGTTCATTTTTAGAAAATTAATTTTTAAAAAATCAAAAAAAATTAGAAATTGAATCAAAAATAAACACAAAAATTGCACCGATTTTTTAGTTTAAAAATAAATTTATTCTTTAAATAAATGGGATTTCCCTCCTTAAAAATAAAAAGGATGGTCCTATCTAAAATAGGGCTAGACTGTATCAGTTTTATAAAAATAGAAAAACATTCTAGCCAATTGCAAAGATGATTTTGGCCAATTATTTGAATAAAATTGACTTTAAAAATAAATATATTTACTCTATCCAAATAATTTTTTGTTATAAGACACTAAATGGCACTTAAAATAAGTTCAATGAACAAATAAAACATTTTATAGAAGAAAAGGAAAAAATGCTTATAAAAATAATAATTAAATTAGTTAACAAGCCTTGGTGGTGTAGTCGGTAGCGAGTTAGGTTTTAGGAGCTATTGGCCTGGGTTCGACTCCCCAACCGGTATCTGATTCTTGTAATTTTACTTTTTAATTTTTTCCTACATTATTATTCCCGGGTTCAACTCCCCATCGGTCAAATTAATTTTTATAATTCTAATATTTGCATTTTTTCATAAATTTCCCAGTTTACTTTTCAATATTCATTCATTTTTATTTAAAGAATAATTTTTAAAAATAAATATACCTATATCACACACAAAAAATAAATAAAACTTTAGCCCAAACGAATTTTCTTTTCTGAAATTTCCTCATCAGAATCACTCAAATCCAAATTTACAATTTCATCTTCATTTTTATTATTTTCTTCTTTTACTACTTCTTCCTTCTCTCCTCCCTCCTCTTCATCATCACCAACATAAAATTTTGGTTGGGATAATAATTCTTTTTTACTCGTAGTAATTTCTTCTTCCTCAATTCTATTTAATTGAGGAACATCTTCTTTTGTTCGATTTATTGTTTGCCAATTTTGTGATGAATTACTATCTTCTTCAGTTAATATTGGAAGGACTTTAAAAAAGAATTTTTTTTCAAAATTTTTCAAAAAGAAACCTCTAAATTTCAAAACTTTTTGTATATTAAATTCTAATTCAGCCAAAGGTTCTCCAGATTTTTCCAAAAGTTGATTACATGTAGCCAATATTTCTTCAGCTTTAAGAGTAAAAACAGATTGTGGACCATTAAAAAGGCGACTATTTTCTACAATCTTTAAAAAATAATTTTTAAATATTTTTTTTAATTTAACAATCCCAGATTAATTTTTCGTATTTTTTGAGTTAAAAAATTTTTTTTGGAAGGATTAGAAAATTCCGAATCATTATTTTCTCATATTTTCCAAACTTAACTAGCCCTCTCCTCTCCAAAAAAATTAATAAAAAAATTTAAAAAACCTGTTCAAAATCTTTTCTAAAACCTTCAATAGTTGTGTAACGATGCTCTTTTGCATTTTGTTCCTTTAAATAAAAAAATTTAAAATTAAAATAAACTACTCAAAAAATTTTTACAATTTTTCCCAAATCCATTGGTCGTTGAATTTTATCATTATAAAATGGAAACTTGAAAAATTTTTCGTAAATTTCAAAAAAACTTTTAAATTAAAAAACCTTTTTAGAATCTACACGAGAATGAAAAGCAACAGATTTTGGCAAATTTTTACATTCTTGAACTATTTGAAGTAAAATATAAGAAAATCCAACAATATCATCATCATCAAGTAAAGGATTTATTTGTTTTTCTAATTCTATAAGACGTGAATCGTTTTCTTCTAATTTTTTGGTTGCGTATTGAACCATCTTAATAAAAAATTTTTTTTTAATTTTCAAAATTTTTTTTGAAATTTTTAATGGTCAAAAACTCAAAAAAACAGGCAAAATAAAACAAATGAAGACCAAAGGAATCGAACCTGAGACCCATACCGGTCAAAATCAGTAACACTAACCACTCCCCCATCGACCTCATTACCAGTGACTTTTTATTTTCCCCTCAAATTAATTTTAAAACAGTTAACCTTTCTAGCTGCTTCAGTAATTGGATGAGTTGGGCCATTATAAGTACTTGAATTGATTATAATCTGTGTTAAATCTAAAAAATATTGATAAACATAATTTTTAAAACTATTTTAAAAAATACCGCTCAAAAATTGTTGTCTAAGTTCATATTTATTATTAGCCACATTTTTTCGAATTTGTTGCAAATCCATAGGTTTTGAAATTATTGACAAATAATCTGGGACCTGCAGAAAATTTTTTAAAAATTATTTAAGAAATTTTTAAAGATAAAAAAATTTGAAGACCGGAAAACTTTAAAAAAAACAAGTAAATTACAAAAAATGACCACGACAGGCATCGAACCCTTACCCCTTCTTTGTCAAACCCCAGTACACTAAACCACTTAACTACAGAATGACTAGAAACAGGCAATTTTTTGAAACAAATTTTTTTTTATATTTCAAAAATATTTTTAAAAAGACAAAAAAATTAAAAAAACGAAACCTTTTTAATATTTACAGGAATAGCAAAATGTTCAGACCCTTCAAACAATTTCAATTCATTCAATATTTCCATTAACAAACTAGCCATAGAAACACGCGGATCAGCCCTTCTTCTTTGAACAGATTTTTGTGGCCCAACCAAATAATCGGCATCATCTAATGTTCCTCTTCTTTTTCCTGTTGAAAAGGGGCCTCCTCCTCCACCAGTTGAAGAAGCTGAGGAAATTGCAGAAAGGGGGCCAATTGAAGTTACTGCAGACGAATTTGGAGGAATAGAAGGGACATTGATTGTAAGTGGATGAGGTTTGCGCGAAGAAGAAACTTTAAAAAGGAAATTGTTTAAATGAAAGAAGGAAAGAGAAAAACCTCACATGAAAAGTCTAGATATTCAAAGATTACAGAATTTATTTAAGTAACCTATCTTATGAGCTATGGTCTCCCAAAGTCCGCAAATTTTTTTGTCCGCAAGTCATTTTTTCCCAAAATGACAAGATATCGGGAACAGGGTGGGCCCTGCCATATTAAAAAAAACGGAAAACAAGTCCGAATAAATCCTATCATAGGTATGAACTTAGGAAATCTCTTCTCAGGTTCCTTCTAGAACATATTCTAGTAAAGTATCCCATAGTATCGATTGAAATTTTTAAAACCACCCCAGAAAAATCTGTTTTGAATTTAAAAACATAATCAACAAACCTAGTTGAATATCTTCATTTAAAGGTATAAAATTCGAAGTTGATGGAATTGAAGCCAATAATTCTTGTTTAGAAATTCCTGGAGGGATAGCTCTAGTAAGTGATGATGAAGATGAGAGTCTTGCAGCTTTCTTTCCAAATTTTTTAGAAACAATTCCCCCTCCTCCACTTTCCAATATTTTACGAGGAATGTGAAGTCTTTTTTAAAAATGAATTTTAGAAAATTTTTTAAAACAATTTCAAAAAAACCTCAAAGCATTTTTTCTTTCCTTTTCTGCATGTTTATACAATTTTTTGGATATTTTTAATCGCGTTCCATCAACTTCAATTAATTCCCCTGATGGAAGACTACAACCCTCTTCGTCTAGAATATCGCTTATACGAGAAACTGGAGGCTAAAAAATAAAATTTTAAATATTTAATTCAACTCCCAGGCCAAACCCACAGGATGAGGAACCCAATAACAGAGGCAACCTTCAAATTAAAAACTAACCTAAAGGTTTTATTCCCCAAATAAATGGGAGAAAAATTGAAGAAGAGAATCTGGGGCAGATTTCTTGGTGGGTTTTTAAATATTATTTGACTAAAGTTCCCATGATTTTTATAATAACAGGACTATATCCCATACCAAATATTCACAAAATTTCAAAAAAACCTGACAAATTTCCCCAACAGTTTTTGAAGCCAATTCTTCCTCTTTTCCATATAAAGGACAATTTCTATTAGTTTTCATATGTCCAATACCTCCACAAGCACTACAAGTAATTTTTAATTCTTTTGGAGGTTTTGGTGGCGGTGGAGGTTTTTCTTTTTTCTCAACAATTTTTTTCAGTTTATTTGGTGATGTAGAAATTAATTGTTGTTCTAATATTAAAGAAGGGCCTCCTCCAATTTCTGCTGTCATCATTTTCATTCTTTCTGTTATGTCCTTCTCTTTTTCAGAAATTAAAGATTTTTGGATTTGTTGTTGTATTTGTTGCTGTAAATCTCCCTTTTTTGATTTTCTAGCATTTTCTTGTTGACGTCTTCTCTCTTTTCTTTTTTCCTAAAAAATAGAATTTTTATAATTAGACCTCAAATAAGATACACTTGCTTGGGGTTGAAAATCCATCAATTTAATGAGGGGTATCTAAATGGTGTACATGCTAGACTTTTCAATATCCTCAAAGATTCTGCTGACCAAAAAATGTCGGGAATTCCCAATTTTTGGATTTTGGGATGGTAGGATCCCTGGTATCTAATAATCTCAAAATGAGAGACCAAACAGTATTTCTAACACTTGAAAAAATATTCTAAACCTCCTTATATTTTTCATCCATTTGAGCATATACTTTAATAAAACTTTCATCCCTTGTTGACCGAATCCGAACATAAGCTTCTATTAATTGTGGATGGATTACAGTTTCAACACGTGTCTGAAAAAAAATTTTTTAGCTGAAAAAACTCCCCATTTGTCTAGATTTTAGAGAGATCCTAAATAAAGACAACGTCTCCCCCTCCTCAAAGCAGTCTCCTAATCCCAGAAATTGTCATCCCCTAACCCCTCAAATAATAATTAAAAAAACCGATTCAGTTCCATCCGTATTCTTAATCGTTCTATAAATTTTTAATTTTCTTTGAGCACCAGATGATAAAAGTGATGTTGTCCCTCCTCCCGGACTTTGAGGATTTGGAACAGTAAAAACATCCTGTAAATCCTCAGAATTTTTTTCTTGTTTATTTTGTTGTTTATCAGCTACAGCTTCTTTTGCTTTAATTTTTAAAAAAAATTAAAAAATAAAAAACTCCAAAAAAACCTGCATCAGAGACAGAAGCCCCACTTTTTGTTACTTCACCTCGAATCATTTTTTGTAAATTTAACCGTTCACGTTCTTCAAGTTCAAATTCTAATTTTCGTTGTTCAGCATCATTTAATGTTTGAGTTGTTGAATATGCACCAACAAAACGTTTACCAAGTTCTTTAAAAAATCAAAAAATTTTCTAAATTTTATTTAATGGAGTGGTCCGCAAAACAATCAGCAAAGGGGGACCACTAACTGAACAGAAGAAAAACTCACCCCAAATAAATAAAATTGAAAAAACTTTCCTCTTTAACATAAAAGGGCTTATTTTAAATTTATTAATCCCAAAATAATAAATATTCTATTTTTACGTGTTCCATAAAGTTCATCTCCACTCGATTCCCAATCCAAATCACAAATATCTGGTTCAGTATTTGCCAACCATTTGTTCTGCTTCTCAAAAATGCGTTGACAATGTTCTTTATGTTTATTTTGCATATCAGCAAAGGTTAAACGAGCATTTCCTCTAGCAAATCTGGACACTTGTGAATCTTTCTGTCCTTGAGCTGCTTGTGTCGACAAAGTACGGATTACATCAATTACATCCCTAAAAATAAAAATTGAGAAAATATTAGGCAATTTAAAGATTGATTGCGGACTTTTCCCTCGACTTTGCGGACTTTTTCCTTCTTTTTTAGGTTAGTTTCCATTCAATCAAAAGGGAATTTACTTATCGAATAAGGGAAAAAGAAATGAAACACAAAAAGAAATATTGGGGGAAATCGCAAAACATTATTCGAAAAAAGTAAGCACCTGGGTCAGGGCTGCACGCAATTGCGGATTGCGAGTTGCGGAATTTTTTTCCAATTGTGCGCAGCCCTGACCTAGGTTCTCTATTCTTGGAAAATCTCCGGACATTCGGAACAGATCGAGGAAATAAATTAAAAATCCTAAATTCTTGGGTTCGGTAGGATCCGACAACCATCTTCCCAAGTTCCCAATTAAAAAAAGAAATAAAAAATTCAAACCATCTCTCAAGTTGACTAATTTCCTCTTCCAAAAGTCCAAATTCTCTACACATTTGCCTAGCTTCTTTTAATGGGAGCTTTCTTAAATCCGCATTTGTTCCAGTTACAAGCTTTTTTGGCGCTTCTTTGTCTACTTCTTCTTTTGCTACTTTTTGAGGTTTTGCACTAACTCGCAGGAAAGAAAAGCCTAATCCGCAACCTGTAGGGTCTGCAATTCCTGTTTGGTCCAAAAAACTTTTTCCCTTCATAACGGCTATATAAGCTCTTGTTGTATTCCACGGGGCACATTTGATCTTTAAAAACAAAATTTCAAAAAATAGAAAAAATTATTCAAAGAAACCTCTTCTTCCCCAATATTTTGTTGATCATCAGAATCATCAGCATTCTCAGCAACATGTAAATATTTCTCTCCATACCCAGCATCCCTCAATCTTTGCTCAGCCGCCATCATTGAAGCTTGGGCACAATACATTTCTGGTGTTATCATACTTGCGACTTCTTCACGGCTAGGAAGGCGAAAGTCATCTTTCAATACCTACATAAAATTTTACTAATTACTTGTGTAAACTATTAGACTAATAAAAGGTATTTATCAGGGATAGGACAGACTACCCGGAATGCTACAGCCTTTTTTCAACCCGAAATTAGAATTCCGATCTGACTTTTTCCCTGATGTCCCATCCTTCGTATTTATCCCATAAAAATAATTGGCAAAAAGCAAAGAGTATCAGAAATAGGTCTGACATGAGACTCAAATAGGAGTGGGGGGCAGGATACGAACAAAGTACCCAGAAATATATCCTGTCGTATTTTAAAATCGGAAGAGGGACCAAGGTTAGCGGAAAAGTCAAAAAATGAGGAATTCTGCAAAAAGAAAGCCCAACCAAGATGGTCACCCAATCCCACCCACTTAAATTAAAAAAAAAACAAAAAAATACCCAAAATTCCAATCCAACACCAACTCTTTTAAATTCAGCAATTGGCTTCAAATTTTTTCTTATAATAGCATCTTGATTTGGAAATATTCTTCTCAATTCATCCATTCTAACACGTCTAGGTTTTTTGTCATTCTCCCAAAATAACCGATAAATACAAGACATCATAAAATCTTTTCCAAAATCTTTTGCTCTTTTTGAATTTGGACTTGGAACTTCAATTAAAGGCATTTCTTGTCCAACAACAAATAAATTTGGAAAATGTCTCAAAAAGAATCCAAAACGTGTTCGGACAAGTAAAAAGTCAGTTAAAGGTATTTTGTGTTTAAATATTGCTGAACGATACATGTTGTTTTCCAAAACTTGTAATGAGGGATCTGTTGTTGTTGTTGTTGTTGTTAATTTACCCAAAAATGGGAATGTATGGGAAAATGATGTTTCTCCAAATTCATATTCTGTTGTTTCTTGTTCTTTTGTTGGCTTCTTTAAAAAAATATTGGAGTTTTAAATTAATAGAGAAACAAAGAAGGGAATCACTCAGCAAAGGAAATCATCACCAAAGTCTCCCAGGAAAAGGGATCAATTCTTTTCCTGGGGGGGGGGGGGGCTTCCCCCTTTAAACCAGAATACCCTCTCTTATAAAAATAAAAAAAGCAAACCCTTTTATAATAATTTCGAATTTTCGAAGCCATTCCAGGTTGACTAAGCAACGGTGGAAATTGTTCTGAATATTCCATTAAAAGTAAAGTTCCATCTCTACCACTCAAATCGTGTACTTCACGCATTAAAAATATATCGAAACCTCCGCCTTCACCAGATAAATGACGCTCTCTTCTCTTAAAAAAATTTTTTAAACATTTTTTGGAGGAAATGTCCGCAAACTTAGTCCGCAAATAAATTAACAAACTGTGCGGAAAAAACTAAAAAATGTGTCCGTAGCAGGGTTGTCCGCAATTGTGGATTGCATAAATTGCGTGGTTTTTTGGGACTGCGACTGCGGAAAATTTTTTCAACTTGCGTCCACAGCAGGGTTGTCCGCTTTGGTCCGCAGAATGTGTCCGCAAATTATATCCGCAAACAAATTTTAATTAGAAAAATTATTAAAGAAAACCTGGTTAGTCATTCTAATATGTCTTGTCAAAGAAAGTATTGGAGCACCTCCTCCACTTCTACTACTAACCAAACTTTGTAAAAATCTTCCAGGCAATTTAGGTCTATGAAAATTCCTCAATTGTGTATTGCTTGTTAAAAATGGGAAAAAAATTGGATGAATTTGTTGTGCTGGCAAAGAATGTTGAATTCCACTATTTGTTGCTAATGAACGTGAAGTTTTTTCTGCTGTATTTTTTGGCATATAATAATCATCATTTGATAAATTAAAAGGGTCTTTATCGGCAATTTGGGCTATTTGTGTTTCTATTTGTTCTTCCTCTTCTTGACGTTGCCGTTTAAATACTTGGGCCAAAATTAATTTGGATTTTTTTATTCCACCTCCCTCAACCTTCAAGAAAACTTTTTTGAATAAATTAACTTAAAAAACCTTTGAATATGATTTAGAACCCAATCCATCACTTCCCTCATCTTGTACAGCATCTTCTGGCATTCCAAACATTTTTGGGTCATCCTCATAATCAAGAGAGAGTACTTTTGGTTCTAAAATATGAAAATTTCTATTCAGCTACCCGTCAATCAATCAAAAAACTTCCATTTTCTTATGTCTTATGCCCCCCCTCCCACCCCGCGAAAAAAATCCTTTGTACGGGCCTGACTTCCCGTTTTCCAAAAATAGGCTTCTCCCGAATAAATCTACTTTCCACCAAAGAAACAACCCTAATAAAAAAATAATACTAGGTATGCTAGGCATATTAGAACTATCCCAAATAATATCATCTTCCCAATTCGAATTGCACAATTCATAATTTTCAAAAGGAAATATTGAATGTTGCGAGTCAATAAGTAATCGAGCATCTGATTTTAAATCTGAAGAAGTTCCAGATTGTGATTGGGAAGTTACTTTTGCCGGGTTTTCCAAGTATTCTATGAATGATTTGTTTTTCCCTGAAAAATAGAGAAAATCGAAAATGTCCGCAAATGTTGTCCGCAAAAAATCAAAAAATCCGCAAATTTAAAAAAATTTAAAAAGGATGACATTAGATCCCAAAAACTTAAAAATGAAATTTACATGCAGTCATAAAAGCTTTATAAGTCCTTGTATGAGAAGTAGGAATCCAACCACATCTAGGAAGACGTGCAGAAGAAAGTTCTTTTATCAACTTGAATTTTTGCTTAAAATCAATAAAAATATTAAAAATAAACCTTTTCTTTCGCCTGTTCTCCATCAATAATTATATCATCTTCCCAATGAATTAAATTAACAGGAAGAAAAGTTTTGTCATCTAAAATGAAGAAAAGGTAAATTTTAGAAAAGTATGAAAGTAAAATTTTAAGAGTTGAAAGGACGTGAATTTAGGTAATTCTTTACCACCAAACCAGGGTGGCCCCTTCCAAAACATTAAAATAGGGTGCAGACACTCAAAAATAGGGCAAAAGTATAAAATAGAAAAAAAATAGAGCGAAAAGGTAAAAAATAGGGAAAATCTTCTATTAAAGAGCCACCCTGCACCAAACATCAAAATGAAATAATTCTTGTTTGGATGACACACTAACCAGAGATAGTTAACCAAAGATCGGTCGGCTTACTCTCACCCCGGACGTTTGACTAGGAACAAAATATTTGAAAAATTTTGAAAACCTGATCCAGAGCCCGACCCGAGTTTTTGTTGAATCCGGCCCATCCTTAACTCTATCCAATAAGTTTTACAAAAATTTAGAAACCTATAACTGGAGACTTCGGCTCGTTCATCGGAGTGAATACCTTTCCTTTCTTCATTCCATAATCAAAATTTGCTGGATTCGAAGGAACCCCTAGCCGGTCATACCAAATTTGAGCAGGTCCAAATCTCCAAGGCGGAGCAGATTCTTCATCTTCCTCGTTTATTTGTTGTGATTGTTTATTTTTGGTTAATAATTCTTCCAAATTTTCTGCACAAAGTAATTCCTTCAAATAAAATTTTGAAAGGGAGATAAAAAGGATAAGTCCGCAAATATGAAAGTCCGCAAATTTTGTCCGCAAATATTTAAAAAAAAATTTCTCAACCAAATACTCTTTCCTGGTAAAAAATAAAAAAAACACGCTTATTTTCTATCAGTTCGCAAGTTTTGTCCGCAAATATTAAAAAAATTTTCCCTAGAAAATATTAAAAAACAAGGGAAAACACGGTTATTTTCAAAGGTCCGCAAATATTAAAAAAAATTTTTTCCAAAAATTATTTAAAAAAACAAACATATTCATCAATTAGACAATCCTTCTTTTTAGGTAGCCCGCCTAATTTAAAGTCCCAACCAGATTTTAAAGTCCTTTCTTTATCCAATTCTTCTTCTTCTTCACCTTTTTTCTCTTCCACATTCCCCTCTTTGCTTTCCTTGATTTCTGTAGACTTTTCATTTTTAATTTCGCTGGTCAACTTTAAATTAGCAATAGCTGCCATTTCTTCTTGTTCAGCCGATAATTTCGTTTTTTCTCCTTTCTTCTTAAATGTTCTAGAAGTCCACCAAATTTGTTCTTTAAGTGAGGCTTTGGCATTTGCAAAAAGCCGTGAGAAACGCAAAATCCCGTTTTGATCGAAATCGGGGAATAATGAACTAAAATATGATTAAATAGTCAAAAAAAAATAAAGAAAAAACCTGGGATCAATATCATCCAATTCTGGCGGTATTATTGCAGCAAGTGGAGCATCCGCTCTCTGAGATGGAGGGATAAATTGTGAAGGGATTTTAATTGGTTGTTTTTCTGCATTTTTGCTGTTGTTTGTGACAAGATTTGGAATTGATCCAGGATGTACAAAAGTAGCTTCTTCACTCATTTAAATGAACTAAAAAATTAAATTTAGAAAATTAAGTACAACGGATACATTTTTAGGCGTAGAAAGTAGAGCCCGGCTCGATACGATTTTTCATCGATAATTATCGATATTTTTCGATATTTTTTTTCGATATTATCGAAAAAATATCGACCGACAAAATTTTGACTTTTTCGATATTTTTCGGTATTCGATATTTTTTCGATATTTATCGAAAAATATCGACCGACAAAATTTAAAAATCGAAACAATCGACCGACCAAATAATAAAAAATCGAAAAAAATATCGAACGTCATTTTTGACAAAAATTTGAATTTTTGGTGCTAAAAAGGATGCATTTTTGCTTCTTGTCCAATGGAAATTCAAAAAAATTTCGCCTGCGGCGCAAGAAAAAAAGAAAGGTTTCTTCTATATTCACGATTTAGTTTGCCAAAGTGAGATGATAGTGAGAGATAATATATGGTAGATAACACTGATATAAATTAGGAAAGATTTCGGTAGATTAAGGGAAATTTCAGTGGGTTAAGAGTAACTTGATGGGATATCCGAAGATTTGGTGGGATATTTGAGATATCCAAGCACATGACGGATATTGTGGATGTCCGGGGTAATCGACTAGTTGATAACTTATAGAGGATTAAGTGGTTAAAATGAATCTCGAGGGATCAAGACGGACCTTTGAAAGAGATGAATATCAAAACGGATATCAAATGCCAAGATTTTTATCCTCTGATATCTCTTTATCCGCCGATATCCCTCTTAATCCACAAATCACTTCATATCCAGTCTGATCTCACAAATCCATAATACAGTCTTAATACCACTAAATCTCTCCATACACACCCAGTACTTCAATATCACCCTTAATTCATTATTCTTAGTTAAAATCCACTTATATCCCACTTGATCCTTCGAGATCAAATACAAGTCCATTGATATTACATTTAATCCGTCCAAATCCACCAATATCCTATTTAATCAATCTTAATAATATTAAACTATTAGGTCTATTCTGTTATTCATTGGTTATAGAAAAATTTTTAAAAAATCGAAAAATATCGAGACTTTTTTTTCGATATTTTTCGATTTCGATATTTTTCGATATTTATCGAAAAAATATCGACCGAGAAAATTTTGGTTTTTTCGATATTTTTCGGTATTCGGTATTTTTCGATATTTATCGAAAAAATATCGACCGAGCCCTCCGTCCGGGCTCTAGTAGAAAGGGATCAAAAACCCATAGAAAAGGATGTTTTATGTCAGTTCGCAAATGTCGTCCTAGCTCGTCTGTGATGTCCCCGCCCTCTCAATGCTATTTTTCGTCTCTTTGTCAACGGGTACAGCTAGGCGCGCAGCCATAACGGCGCAAAGCCATAACCTGCTTCAAGATGTCCGAATCTTACCAAATTTGGTATTAAACGATTCCTCTCATCGAGCTAAAGAGGTAGGAACCAAAATTGAGAAGGGCCAGAAATTTTCCAGCAAGTTATGGCTTCGCGCCGTTGTGGCCGCGCGCCTGCGTCCCCCTCCGTCAACAGAGGCGACCCGCTGTTGCCGTCACAAGGCAAACGGAAAAATCGATGACTAGTCGTATACATAAACTAACAAAAATGCTTTAAAGCGAAGCAGTTTTATTTGTGTTTTCCCACCAAAATAAAAAAATTTTAAACAAAATTTCTTGAATTGTTGAAATCCCTGTTTATACAGTCTTTGATCTCTTTTGTATTTTTAGAGTCAAAATTGGCAGAAGCCTCTTAAACAACAATTTTTGGAACGTCTTAATGTTAAAATTTGAACTTTTAAATATTTTTTTATTTCAACATCCTAAAGATGGACTTGACGAAGAATCGGTTAGATTTTTAAAAATTTTTGGAAATTTTTGAACCTATCAACCCTCTTAATTAATTCCCCCTATGTTTTTAGAATACAAATCAAATTTGTGTTATAAGAGGTGATCAATTCTTTGATAAGCCTGAGGATGGGACTGAAGAGTATTTTGTTTCGGAGCCGGATGAATTCGATTACTGGGACTATTGGGTATCTTTTTTAAAATTGGAAAGACAAACTCTAAGTAAAAACTGACTGACATTAAATCCTTGTAAAAATACTAGTTTAAAAATAAATGATGGGATTTCTGTTCTAAAAAATCGAAAATTACCGTTAAGATTACTGAGTTGCCTTTCAGACTCAAATGGGCTCTTTTGTCATTTTACCATTTTGATTTTTTCGCGGAATTGGCGCGTTTAATTTATTTGCCTTTTGTTTCAAGAAAAATTTTTTTCTTACAATTAGTAAATCATTTTTGCATCTTTTTCTGATTTTTTTTAATTATTTTTAAATTCCCCTTTTTTTAGGTTTTTCTGAAATTTTTTAAATTAAAAATGTCATTATTTGATAAAATAATTGGAAATCATCGGATTCCCATCTACGTCAGTTTTTAAATAGGGGTTTTAATTACATTTAATTTTCCCTTTTCTTTTAGAATGCCGACGTTGTGCGCTTCCAAAGGACTCGCTTTTATGGCAATGGAAACATCTTTGAACCAAGATGTGACGCTTACTCTGAATTGGTATTGATTTTTATTTAATGAGGATAAATTAGGGCAAAGCTCTCTTATCAAATAACTGAGTCGGGGTTCTTCCCGAAAACTGAGTGGGAGGGAGGGGGTGGGGAACTGGGTTGGAGTTTTTCCCGAGTTTTATTTATTACATGGGCAAAAACTCACTTGTCTTTTGACGGTTTGACTTTTCATTTATTTAGTCCGTCTCCGAATTGTACTAGGCCTGGACTAACATAGGCCTATTAAAACAATCTAGAATGTGGGGATTAAATGTGCATAAAGATTTTTAAATTCCAAAAATTTTAGAAGGCAATGTTCATCCGATTAAATAGCCGCTTTGATTTTATTGAAAAAGAAATGCGACAGATGCGGGACGAAAATAATCGTCAATTTGATTTTATTAAAAGAGGAATGCGGCTTATGATTGGTCAAATGCGACGGATGAATGGTCGTTTTGATGCTCTTGAACGTGAAATGGGACAAATGCAGCAAACGCTGACCCTGACATCTCTTCAATCTGATGTATCACTGTTTATGGTACGCACGAATGAAGATGAACTACGTAATATTGAGGCACGCTTAGCGACAATTGAGGCAAGACTTGAACCGCAAAATGGTTAGTTTTTATTTCCAACAAAGGTTCAACATCTCTGGGGTTGGGACATAGTTCTTTTTCGTATTCTAGACCTAAATCCACTAAAATAACTACAGATTAAACTAATGTTTTTAAATTTTAGTTGATAATCTTGGCGGAGGAGCTGGTGGACCTGTCGCTGTTGCCCAGCTTAATAATGTTGCTGCAGGAGCTGGTGGAGTAGCCCATGTTAATAATGTTGGCGTTGAACCTGTCGGACCGCCAAATGGTTAGTTCTTATTTCCGTTAAAAGTTTAAAAATCGTCTGGGGTTGGGAAATAGTTCTTTTTTGAATTCTAGACCTAAATCTACTAAAATAACTAAAGATTAATGTTATTAAATTTTAGTTGATAATAATGTTGGCGGAGGAGCTGGTGGACATGTCGCTGCAGCCCACGTTAATAATGTTGCTGGAGGAGCTGGTGGAGGAGGCCAGAACAATAATGTTGGTGAAGAATAGGAGTGGAGAAAAAATATTTTCAAAAATTTAGACTGCCTTTTTTTTAAATTATTTCAAATTTAATATTTTCTAATTAAATAAAATTTCTCATAATTTGTTTGACTAGATACTTTAAGGAAAAAAATTTTTTGAATTTGGGACTCCTCACGATACTTGAAAAGTGATGGTTTTCAAGACCTATCTATTTTTTTAAAAATTAAAAAAACCTATAAATGAAGATTCGGTCACCAAATGGAATGACCATCTTCCAAAAAAATAAATATAAAAAAATCAAGATTAAAAAACCTTTCCTTTCCCGAGTCCAGCAAGTTTTTTTCATAATTTTTTTCTGTTAGAATATGAAAAAAAAAGTTTTTTTCAAGGTCCGCAAATTTTGTCCGCAAATTTATTTTAAAATTTTGAGCGAAAATAGCTAGGGAAAATAGCTTCAAAGATTCAGTTAAATCTTTAATCTAATCTTTAGAATACCTAGACCCCCGTAAAAACAAAAAAATTTCATGAAAATATTTTAAAAAACAAACTTAGGTAAATCTGCAAATTCAAAATTCCAAAGTTGCGGACTTTTCAGATTCTTCAATAAATTCTTCCTTTTCATCCTTTCTGCTCTTCAACAATTTCTTCTTTGGTATTTTTCCTTCTTTAATTTTCTATTATTCTTTCATTTTTAGTTCCGTTGGACAACTTTAGATTAAAAATTGCTGCCAATTCTTCCTTTTCATCGCAGTCCAATGGCGGAGAAGAAGGGACATCATTTTTGTCTGGTGAAAAAAATTGAAAATTTACAGAACAATTGAGAATACGGATGGAACTGAATCGATTAGTTTATTTTTTATTATTTGGGGAGTAAAAATATTTTTCGGATTAGGGGACTAATTTTTGGGTAGGAAGCCTTTTTTTTAATAAATTTTTGTAATAAATTTTGCGGAAAATATTTGCGGATTTTAGCAAAAGGACTTTCCCATATTCTAACAAAAACCAATTTTTTAAACAAAAAAATTGTTTCAGACACGTGTTGAAACTGTAATGCATCCACAATTAATTGAAGCCTATGTTCAAATTCGTTCAACAAGGGATGAAAGTTTTATTGAAGGAAGTGGATGAAAAATATAGAGGTTTGCATATATTTATTTATTTTTAAGTGTTAAAATATAGCTGGGTCTCTCTTTTATGATCATATTAGATGCTAGGAACCCTGTCGCTCCGATTCCCGAAACTTTGGGCTTTTTGGGATCCAATCATAATTTTTTTTCTAGGAAAAAAGAATACATCAACAACAGAATTGGAACATCAAATATTGATGGACTTGTTGGAAAACTAATAGAAATTGTCCTTTATATGGAAAAGAGGAAGAATAGGCTTCAAAAACTGTTGGGGAAATTTGTCAGGTTTGAGTTTCTTTTTTGACTTCTGAAGATTTTGTGAATATTTGGAATTGGTTAAAGTCTTGTTATTGTAAAAATCGAGGGAACCTCACTCAAATAATACATATTTACAAAACCATCAAGAAATCTGCCCCCAGTTTCTCCTCTCCAATTTTTCCTCCCATTTATTTGTGGGTTTTCCTCCACCCAGTTTTTAATTGTAAGGTTGCGCGCCTTGCGGTTGGGTCTTCAACCTTGTGGGTTTAGTCTAGGAGTTGAGTTAAATATTAAAATTTTTTCTTTTATTTTTCAGCATCCAGATGAAGAGGGTTCTAGTCTTCCATCGGGGGAATTAATTGAAGTTGATGGAACGCGATTAAAAATATCCAAAAAATTGTATAAACATGCAGAAAAGGAAAGAAAAAATGCTTTGAGGTTTTTTTAAATTTTTAAAAAAATTTTATTTTTAATTTAAAAAAGACTTCACATTCCTCGTAAAATATTGGAAAGTGGAGGAGGGGGAATTGTTTCTAAAAAATTTGGAAAGAAAGCTGCAAGAATTTCATCTTCCTCATCACTTACTAGAGCTATCCCTCCAGGAATTTCTAAACAAGAATTATTGGCTTCGATTCCATCAACTTCGAATTTTATACCTTTAAATGAAGATATTCAACTAGGTTTGTTGATTGTTTTTTTTTTGAATTTTAAGTCGATTTTCCTAGACTTTTTTTTAATTTTTTATTATTTTTAAAAGTCTAGAGAGCCTAGAACTAGAGAAAAATTTCCCAAGTTCATATCCGGAATGGGATTTATTCTGCTCTTCGTCTATTTAAAATGGCAGCCCCATCCCTTGGGAAAAAATGACTTGCGGACAAAAATAATTTTTTGCGGACTTTAGGGGAACTGGGGAGAATAATACTTAAAATTTCTGTTAAATTTAGACTTTTTAAATGGAGGTTTATAAACTTTCATTTTTTTCCAGTTAAATAATTTTTTCTCCTTTTTAAAGTTTCTTCTTCTCGTAAACCCCATCCACTTACAATCAACGTCCCTACAATTCCTCCAAATTCGTCTGCAGTAACTTCAATTGGGCCTCTTTCTGCAATTTCCTCAGCTTCTTCAACTGGAGGAGGAGGCCCCTTTTCAACAGGAAAAAGAAGAGGAACATTGGATGATGCCGATTATTTGGTTGGGCCGCAAAAATCTGTTCAAAGAAGAAGGGCTGATCCTCGTGTTTCTATGGCTAGTTTATTAATGGAAATGTTGAATGAATTGAAAAGATTTGTGAAGGTTTTAAATATTTTTATTTCTCCTTTTCTTTTTAAATTTTCTAAAAGTCTACCTAATTTATTTTTTAAATAAAGCTTTGGGGCATTTTTTTCGAAAAACCTAGAAAAATTTAAAATCCCATTTTGAACAAAACCAGGGGGATTAGTGTATTAAAAATGATAAAAATATTTTTAAAAAATTTGTTTGACTAAAATAAATGATTTAGAAACAAATTTTATTTCAAAATTTGTTCATTGGGTTTTTCTAAAAAAATTTTCCCTTCCTTCAATTAAAGTTGTCTTCCACTTTCATAAGCATGTATTAATCTTTGAAGAATAGCTTGTTGGTCTACCTAAATATTTTTTCTTAATTAAAAAAAAAATAAAAGTTTATTCAAACCGATTCAAAAACTGTTGGTGCAGAAAATAAAACACCTATAGTTCCACCCAAAGTAACTCCAAAGAAAATGTATAGGAGGAATCGGTCAATTACCATCGCAACAAATCTCCAATCATCTCGATGCTATTAAAATTATCAAAAAAAATTTTAGGACCCTAAATTACAATTTTATGGTCCTCTTCACGTCGTAAATGTTCGGTAATATATTCAACAGCCTCTACAGCTTTAGCCTTCAAAAAATAAAATTTTTTCGAGTAAAAATAGGCTTAGGCTTCTTACAGCTTCTAAACTCAAAGGAAATCCATTTTTAATTATTGGGTCCCCAGTCTCTTCTGGTTCGTGTATAGCTCCTTTAATTCTCCCTTCGGGACAGTGTTGGTGATGTATTTTTTGAGAAATTGTTTCATCAAATTTCCCAATCCCGGGAATGGTTGTTATACTTTTGCTGCTAATTCTTTTTGTTAAGCTACTAATTGTTGCTTTTGGACGCTTCATGCACAGTAGACGAGGCATTAACTTTTAGAAAATAAAATATTTTGTAAAATAAAAAATTAATACCACTAAAAATATATGACGAGCCCAGTCAGGCATTCTGTGGGTTGTTGGCCCACGATGATAGACGTTAATAATTATAACAGTAACCTTAAATATAAACAAAGTTGTTATATTTTATATAAAACAAAACAATAGAAACAAACAATAAAACATTACAAAAACATCTAAAGATAAAAGAAACAACTATAATTAAAACAAACATCAACGAAACAATGTAAACTTGAAATCAAACAAATCAACACAACATACGATAAAAACACACGAAAAGGCACCGAAATAAACATCAAAATAAAAATCAGAATTAAAAACAAACATCAATCAAAACATAATACAAACATCAAAATCAGAATAAAATTAAAACAACGAAAAGCACTGACATAAACAACAAAATAAAAATCAGAATTAAAACAAACATCAATCAAAACCAGAATTAAAACAAAACATCAAAATCAGAACAAAATTAGAACAAACATCAATTAAAACCAGAATTAAAACAAACATCAAAATCAAAACCAGAATTAAAACAAAACATCAAAATCAGAATAAAATTAAAACAAAACATCAAAACCAGAATTAAAACAAAACATCAAAGTCAGAATAAAATTAGAACAAAAACTCTAAACAAAACATCAAAAAACATCAGAATTATATTACCGTTATTGTTGTGATGTTTAATGTAAAAGTCAGCAACAAATACTTGGCGACAAGAGGAATGGTAGATGAAGTTGGAGGCATAATTTTAGAAACCAACAAAAGAAATACAACGATAGATAACAGAACTTAAAAGAGAAGTTTGGAATAAAAAAATTATTTTTGTAAAACCAGAAATTGTTAAAGTCATTTTTTCACCAGAATCTGTTGGCAATAGGAAAACAGCCATGGATAGAAAAGCCATTAATACTGTTGGTATTATTAAAACAACGGTGTAAAACAAAGTTTTTCGACGAATTCTAAGTTGGAATTTAATGCGAGAACTGAAAAAAATAATTTTTTTTATTTTTGAAGAATTTTAAATATTTTACCGGCTATTGACTAATGATGCGGGGGCATCTGTTTGAAACAAAAAATTATTTTTTCAATAAAAAGCAAAAAAAACAGACCAATAACATCCCAAATTGAACTAACACTTTTGGCATATTCACTCAAATCCATTAATTCAGCCTGTTCAAATTCCATTTTTATTTCATTCTCGTTATACGTCCACGAACCAAATATTAAATGACAAACTTAAAAAAACTTGATGTTTTTTGTTAAGTTTGTTTAAATTAAATTTATGTTTTGTTTAAAACATTGTTATGTTTAATTGATGTTTTGTTTTATGTTTGTTTATTTTTAATTGATGTTTTGTTTCAAGTTTATTCTGATTCTGTCTAAAATTTGTTTTAAAATGTTTTGTTTGTGTTCTGATGTTTTGTTATAAGTTTATTCTGATTTTCTTTGTTTGGTGTTTTTAAAAATATTTTTTTTATTTGATGTTTGTTTTAAACTTGTTCTGATTTTATTTAAAACTTTTCATTTTTAATTGATGTTTGTTCTGAGTTTGATGTTTGTTTAAAATTTGTTCTGATTTTATTTAAAATATTATTGATGTTCTGTTCTATTTTTGTTCTGATTTTAATTGTTTGTTTGATGTTTTGTTCATTTTTTTGTTTTTACATTTATTCTGATTTATTTTTTGTTTTGTTAGTTTGTTTTTATTGTTTTGTATTTTTGTTTGATGTTTTGTTCTGTTTTTACCTTTATTCTGATTTTATTTTGTTTTTGTTTTAATGTTTTGTTTTGTATTTGTTTTAACCCTTGTTTTAATTATTTATTACCTTGTTCATCAAAAGGAAAGTATTCAACATCTATAAACTTTTAAAACATTACCATTTAAAACAAAAAAACAAACCAATAATACACGAACTTTTATAAATTGCTGGGGGTACCTAAAAACATCTAAATAAACAAAACATCAAAACAAACCCAAAGAACATCCCCCCGATAATCTATAACAACATTCGACATAAACGATACTTCATAATTTCCATCAGCGCTAGAATTTTAATTTTTACATAAATCTGGTTAATAAACATTTAAACTTGTTAAACAACACCTATTAAAAAATTTATTTTTATTTAAAAACAATTTTCTTCTAACAATGTCGGGCAACCAAACTTTGTCGGGAGGGACGCGTATATCCTTTATACCGCCATAATTTACTGGACTCCACTTCATTTGGTAATCCTTCCATTTTAAAGTTAGCCAAACATTTGTATGCATTATCTAAAATTATTTTTAAAATTTTCTGGCCCTATCATTTTCTTGACCTGATCCTTCTCGTCAACGTTAATTAAAAGAATTAGCTACAAAAGTTTAAAAAATTAAAAAAAAATAAAATAATAATTTTACTTGTAAAGTCATTTTAACAATTATTGGCTGGCTATCATTACGCATTGGCAAAATTAAAGAATTATATCCTCGAAAAACATCCATCATTAAACGCTCTTCATCATCACTTGCAGAAAGGTGAGTAAATAGTTTGATTAGAATAAGAATAACTATTAAAAACATTCCTAAAAACAAAATCAGAATTAAATTTGAACAAAACAGGCTAAACATTATAAACCAGAATCACAATACAAACAAACAAAATTATAAATCAGAACACAAACATGCAAGAAATATATACAAACAAAACAAATCAGAAAAACAAACTTTGCTGTTCAATTCTGTTTTAACTTCAGAATTAAATTTAAACAACACCAGAATTTTGTTTCTGTTTTATTAACGCCATAAACATTGCTAAAAACATTACTAAAAACATTGCTAAAAACAACTTCAGAATTAAATATAAACAAACCAGAATAAAATTAAAACATTCAAAAAATGTTAACTAACAAAAACAATTCTTCAAAACAAACATTCTCAACAAAACAATTCTTTGAACTTTTATAAATAACCACATCAAAACATAATTTTGATGATCTAGCGGTTCGAGCGTTCCCTTTTTTTACAATCTTGTTCATTTATTGATGGTTATGATTGACAAGTGAAAGATTGGTTGGGGATGATCGAAGATTAGTTGAGAAAATTTAGCAAACTTATTTTACATGCAAAAAATAAAAGAATTGAAGAAAACTTCAAATTTAGACCCTCCTTTAAATTCTTTCTATTTTGACTTGTTAATCCTGTCCATCTGTTGACAAATGGCCAAATTTGAAATTGAAGAAGGGTCGTTAAATGCCACCACCTTTATTTAAAAGGAACAACTGTCTTTGCAAAATAAACTTTGTCGGAAGTTTTGTTAAATTTTTTCTGTTTGGAGGATTGTATTTCCTTTTTTAAAAAACTTTTTTTCTGCAAAGTTTGTTTAGGAAAAGAAAAGTTTAATATAAATGTTTTAAATATACAAATCAGAATTATAATAAACAATAATTCTGATTTTTTATGTTGTAATAGTAATTCTGGTTCAAAATTAATTCTGATACCAGAAAAACATTAAAAATAGTAACAATTAAAAATCAGAAGTTTTTAAACATGTTCAAAAATAATTCTGATTTATATTAAAAAAATCAGAAGTTCTAAACATGTTCAGAAATAATTCTGATTTACTATATTAAAAAATCAGAAGTTTTAAACATGTTCGAAAATAATTCTGATTTATATTAAAAAAATCAGAAGTTTTTAAACATGTTCGAAAATAATTCTGATTTATATTAAAAAAATCAGAAGTTTTAAATTTGTTCAAAATTAGTTCTGATTTATATTTAAAAAATCAGAATTAATAAACTAATAATAATTCTGATTTAAATACTATAAATCAGAAATTAATATTTTTCTGTAGTAAATTAATTTAATTTTAATAAAAAAATCAAAACAAAAATTAGCATAATAATGATATTAATGGAAAAAATTAATTTTAATTAATATTTGGAGCATAAATTTTAATAAATCTTTATTTTTCATTGGGCATTTCACTATAAAGTTGAGCAATTTTTTGTTTGTATTTTGCCCTAAGTTGTGGCCTTTTTGCCTTAAAAATTTTTTTTTAATTTTAAGAATATTTTAATAAAATTTTACCTTTAATGTAGGTGTTAACAAATCATTTTCTATACTGAAGGGTTCATGTTCTAAATAAATAGCTTTAACTTGTTCTAAACTATTCAATTTTTGTTCTTTTCCAATTTGTTGCATTTCTGCCAAAACTAAATTAATTATTCTTTTATCTGAACAAATCTCTTCCAATTTTATTTCTTCTTCTTTTCCTCCTCCATCTATTTGGGTAAAGAGGCGTCTGATTTGACCAGCTGCTGGGACAACAATTGCCTTTTTTAATTAAATTAGATCGAAACAAAGTTTTACAATGTTTTTAAGTTTGTTTTAGTAAAATCAGAATAATTTAAAAATCAGAAATGTTTTTACCACAAGAAAGCGTTGAAGACTATCACCATCAACAAAGATTTGATGTACTGACCTAAAAATGTTTATTTTAAATTCTGATTTTAATTAAGTGTTTATCTTAAAGTAATGTTCAGTTAAAATTCTGATTTTAAATAAAATGTTCATTTCAAATTCTGGTTTTAAATAAAATGTTCATTTTAATTCAATGTTTATATTAAATTCTGATTCTAATTAAATGTTTATTTTTAATTCTGAAGTTTATTTAGATAAATGTTCATTTTAAATTCTGATTTTGATTAGAAGTTCATTTCAAATATATATTTATTTAAATGTTTATTTCAAATTCTGATTTTATTTAAACGGATGTTTGTTTTAAATTCTGATTTTGATTAAATGTTCATCTCAAAAATTATCTACCTGCACTGTATATAAACATTTTCAATTTTCTCAGGCGCCACATATTCCCCTTGTGCCAATTTAAAAATGTGTTTTCGTCTGTCAATAATTTTTATTTGACCATTTGGAAGTATTTGCCCAACATCCCCAGTTTTTAAAAACCCATCTTCAGTAAATAATTCTTTTGTACGTTCAGGATCTTTAAAATATCCACTGGTGACTGACGGCCCTTTAATTAGAACTTCTCCTTTTCTGTCTTTCTTAAAATAAAAAAATTATTAAAAAAATATTTAATTAAACAAACAACAAAATAATTCAAATCGGGGACATCTTCTAATTTTATAAGTGAGCAAGTTGAAGGACCTCCACATTGACCACCTACAGTCTCTCCAGGCCAAGTGGATATAGCCATTGCTGTGCATTCTGAAAAATATTTTTTTAATTAAAAAAAATAAAAATTAATAAGCTAATTCACCAGTCTGTCCATATCCCTCAATTATATGACAACCAAAAACTATTCTCAATTCTTCCAACACCTCAGCAGCGATTGGGGCGGAACCAGTAACTTCAAAATTAAAAATGTTTTTGCTTTACAAAAATAAATTTACCAATTAATTTTACATGATTTCCAAGTCTTTGACGTGCTCTGGCAAATACAAGACGATCCCAAATTGATTCATTTGTTACTATACCTTTTTGAAGCATTGCCTTCTTCTGAGCCCGACCAATGGAAAACAACCAACGAGAAAAGGGATTTAAACGGGTAACTTCTGCCTGAACATTTGTAAAATTATTACTTTCCGGAAGCAAAATATTAAAATAGAAATATCTATTAGGAAAATATAAATCAGAATTAATAGCCTTCCGGATACAAAATCAGAACTAATAAAATTCCGGAACAAATATTAAATTAGAATACGACTTTCCGGAAAATATAAATAAGAATAGCTTTCCGGAAACTTAAGTATACATATATATAAGTAAATCAGAATTAAAATTCCGGAAACATAAAACTAACAACTTTCCGGAACTTAAAGTAAAATATAACTTTCAGGTAATTCAGAATTAATCATTTCCGGAAAATATTTTTTTATAAATCGAAATTAATAATTTTCCTGAAACTCAACAATTTCTCGGAAAGCTCAATAAATTTATTCACCTTTATTGCGTCATTAAAACGGTTTAACAATCGAGGTACTACGGGCAATAAAGTTGGTTCCAAGGCCTGCATATCAGCAGAAAGTGTAGCGATACCATCAGAGACATAACCGATTCGATATCCAAGGCAGAGGGCTATCCAGTGGGCACATTGTTCGAACATGTGTGATAAAGGCAAATCTAGAGATATCAAAATTAAATTAAAATTTATATCAGAATTTTTTAATTATAGAAAAAAATTACATGAAATAATGCAATGTTCTGTTGTTGACAAAAATTCTGGTAAAAACTTTTCTAAAACTACAGCTAAAGCAGAAATGTTTGCAACAACATTACGATGACTCAGAATTACACCTTTAGGTGTTCCGGTTGTTCCACTAGTATAACTATAAATAATTAGAATTAATAATAACTAGTTCCGGAAAATATATAGAATTAACTTTCCGGAAACTTAATTAGTCTACTTTAAACTTAAGTCTAAGGTAAAATAAAGAAAAATCCGGAAACTTAAGTTTTCCTTTTCCGGAAAAAGTTTATTTAAAAGAAAAAACCTTTCCGGAAACTTAAGTTTTACTAATTCCGGAAGAGTTTATTTAAAAGAAAAAACTTTTCCGGAAACTTAAGTTTTCCTTTTCCGGAAAAGTTTATTTAAAAGAAAAAACTTTTCCGGAAAATTAAGTTTTCCCTTTCCGGAAAAGGTTGATTTCAAAGGAAACCTTTCCGGAAACTTTTGTAATTCCGGAAAGAGTTTATTTAAAAGAAAAAATCTTTCCGGAAACTTAAGTTTACATTTTCCGGAAAAGTTTATTTAAAAAAACCTTTCCGGAAACTTTTGTAATTCCGGAAAGAGTTTATTTAAAAGAAAAAATCTTTCCGGAAACTTAAGTTTTCTTTTTTCGGAAAAGTTTATTTAAAAGAGAAAATCTTTCCGGAAACTTAAGTTTTCCTTTTCCGGAAAAAGATTATTTAAGAGAAAAAACCTTTCCGGAAACTTAAGATTTCCTTTTCCGGAAAAAGTTTATTTAAAAGAAAAAACCTTTCCGGAAACTTAAGATTTCCTTTCCTGAAAAAGTTTATTTAAAAGAAAAAACCTTTCCGGAAACTTAAGTTTTCCTTTTCCGGAAAAAGTTTATTTAAAAGAAAAAACCTTTCCGGAAACTTAAGTTTTACTAATTCCGGAAGAGTTTATTTAAAAGAAAAAACCTTTCCGGAAACTTAAGTTTTCCTTTTCCGGAAAAAGTTTATTTAAAAGAAAAAACCTTTCCGGAAACTTAAGATTTCCTTTCCTGAAAAAGTTTATTTAAAAGAAAAAACCTTTCCGGAAACTTAAGTTTTACTAATTCCGGAAGAGTTTATTTAAAAGAAAAAACTTTTCCGGAAACTTAAGTTTTCCTTTTCCGGAAAAGTTTATTTAAAAGAAAAAACTTTTCCGGAAAATTAAGTTTTCCCTTTCCGGAAAAGGTTGATTTCAAAGGAAACCTTTCCGGAAACTTTTGTAATTCCGGAAAGAGTTTATTTAAAAGAAAAAATCTTTCCGGAAACTTAAGTTTACATTTTCCGGAAAAGTTTATTTAAAAAAACCTTTCCGGAAACTTTTGTAATTCCGGAAAGAGTTTATTTAAAAGAAAAAATCTTTCCGGAAACTTAAGTTTTCTTTTTTCGGA